AATGTTACCAGCAAGGACACGTTATGAGATAGGCAAAGTGATGCCTAATGTCTTCTCTCTTCCCCTAGGACCTAGCCTGGGCCATCAGCTACTACATGCGCTACTTCATCACATACATCCCATTCTATGGTGTTCTGGGATCCCTGTTTCTCCTTACTTTTGTCAGGTAGGAGATAAAGGGCATCTCTGCTGCTCTCTTCTCCCTCCAGTGCCAGACCAACCAAGTCTCAGCTCTGCTGTGCCCCACAAGCCTTGTCAGTTTGGGTTGTGTGCAGTCATTGACTTCACCGTGCGTTATCTTGGCTGTTTCTCCTGCTTCACTTTCCTCTTATCATCTCCCAATTCCACCTCCCGCAGCACAGCTTGTTCTGCTGCTCAGCATCTTCCCCTGCCCTTGCAATGGTCCAACTCCTTTCTCTCCTTGTTCCCTGTTCTCACGCGCTGCCTGATCCCAACACATTTATGCATTTTTTCCCATTTTGGTCAAGGATGGAACCTTTCAGAGTCCCTTCAAGCCATCCTCTTCCCAGCTTACTGGGAAGGTAATTAATTCATGAGCCTTCCTGAGCACTGGACGCGTTTTGCCAACAGGTGAAACACTCACCACCCAGCCTGGAAGACTGCATGGCCTGTACGCTGGCTAGTACCAAAGGACAGCATTTAGTCCCACAGTTAGCATTAGTTTTAGGAAAATGTTTCATCGCAGTGAAAAACATTTTCTAAAAAAAAAAATAATTCCTTTTTTTAAGTGAAAAGGCAACAGATGTACAAAAACCTTCAAAATATTAGAACTTTTGCCTCCACAAAATTTAATATCGCTGTTTATGACTTAAGTTTTCATAGTTTCAGAACACTTTGAATCTAACGAAAAGAGGAGATTCGAAAGACATACATTTGAGTAAGTGCCTAGCCACCCTTTTTGGTCTGAAGTCAAGCTGACAAACTTACGACAACTCACTTGTTATTTCCACAACTTCCGTATTTTGATTAAGCTAAAAGTGGAAGAAGGAAGGCAAAATCGCAAAGCCAGATCATCTGCTCTTTCAGAAAGCAAACCTAAAGACTAGAAAAAGGATGCTGCTGGACAGCTTGTCCACATGCATCTACATCCCAGCTTAGAGAAACTATTTTGGTTAAAGAGAAGAAAGCGCGTTTCTGTAGGCTATTGTGCAGGTGCAAAAAATGCAGTTATATACCATAGGCAATAAATAAGCCACTCTAAAGCAATACCCAGGCCAGTGCAGAGTTGAGAGTTATGGTAAAGTTACTGAGAAAGCCAGGGGAGACTGGGAGCCCCAGTGTGCTGAGCTTCACACCCAGAAATCTAACACCAATGGGCAGGTGGATTTCAAAATTAACATCTATCCATTAAGCAACGGGAAAGATGAAAAAAGTTCTGAGAATGTCTAAATGGGGGCTTGGTTGTTTGTTGTTTTTTTTTTTCAGGGAGTTGGAACATCTTTATTTACCGAAAGGCCAAACTAGCAGGAGAGATTAATCCACTTTGAAGGGAAAGGATAGCCCAGTAGCACATCCTGCTTGTATTTAATCATAATTGCGTTAGTCCCAAGGGTATAAAGAGGGGAAGGGAAATTCATCACAGAAGTGATTCTCTCTGGTTTCCAGAGGAAGAGAGATATTTACTTCCATGCCTCAGAGAAACACTTTCCTTGCAGGTTGCATCTCCTGCTGCTCCCGGTAAACCCCACACTACTTACTTCATATCCTGCTCTGCAATTATCAATTGTCACCCTTGATTTTTTGCCTGTTTGTTTTTGAAGGTTTCTGGAGAGTCACTGGTTTGTGTGGGTCACCCAGATGAATCATATTCCAATGGAAATTGATTGTGAGAAGCACAGAGACTGGCTTAGCTCTCAGGTAACCGGGAGGGGAAAGAATACCCCTGGCTCACCCCAAAACTTTAGAATTTAGAGTTAGATTAGAAACTTACTCAAAGAGCAGATGGGTTAACCATGGGTTACTGTGTCCATGACCCCTCCCATGAAAACATTCTCCTCAGAGCCAGCAATGCTGAGTCAAGACATGGACATCCAATTACTTCTGTAATTAATTTGAGAATCAAAAGATTCCTCCAGATTCGAGGCGGTATCAGGTGCAAGAAGCATGATTTGGCTTTCCTGTGCGGTGTATGTTGGCATGCATGTGCGAGCAAACAGAAGAGCCCCAACGAAGAGAGAGTTCAATGTATTTCTAAAGTTTATATTTCAGCAATAGGGCTGAACTGAAAACCAGCTGCTTTCTACAGCTTTTTAATGCCTGGTCAGACAAATCCACCCTGCTGAAAGGGTCCCTCTTACTTACGGTGGTCCAAGTCCTATTCACAGCTGGAGGATAATAAAAGCAACTTTGATACCGGCCCTATGAATATGGTATAACCCTTCCAAGAGAAGAAATCATATCATGTGTTCATTAGTATAATTAGTATTTGTAGTTGTTAACAGGGCCTTGAAGGTGATCTTTCGAAGCCTGATAGTCAATTTCTCTCGCTTGTGCTAAAAACACTGAAGTACTAAAAAAAAAAAAAAAAGAAAAAAGTGCTAAAAGCACTATTCAGGAAAGCTGAAGTATTTGTTGTCAATTAAGCACACGAAGGGGATTCACTGAAGTCACGACGGGAGTGTCCAGATGCTCACCTTAAGCTTTTCCTTAAGCACTTTGTGCAACTGGAATTTGTAGACACAGAGAGAGGTGGTGAGAGTGAGAGGTTTAGGGAGAAGGGTTATAAGAGAAAGAGAGAGCTTGGAGGGGGGACAGAGAAAAAGTGCGTATGATAGAGAGAGATCAGCCTCCTTGACACTGATACGGTTTTATGATGCATCCTGGGGAGGTGAGGAGAGTAAATCTCCTGTGGTTACTATGCAGAAATCGCAGCTTAGCCAGCTGAGAGTGTAAAAGGATTTTAAGAAAGGCTACCGAATTTTACTATCATTAACAGCAAGAGCAGCTAAGAAATATTTCCAGAATATTCAGATCTTGCACTTAGGGCAAACCGGGCAATAACTAGACTCAGCTTGCTGTGTCCATGCATTCTTCCTCCTCCGTTTCCCGCCTTGGTACTGTTGTTAACCATCTGATGTTCACCAGGAGAAGCTGAGATTTAGGAGCCTGCACTTGGACTGATATGTGACTCATCACATATGTCCTAAACTGCCTCCTTAAATTGTCCCTTTTACCTCTGCTCAAACCCGTGGAGACCCGGTCAGCACAGCAGTTGACAGTGAGCCCTGAAGGAGGGTTAAAGCTCCCATCGCTGCCACCAGCGATCTCAGCACAGCAGGTTTCTGCGCTCTGACAGCTCAGCATCGCAGTGAGCTTCACGTCAGCCCATGCTGCGGGCAAGAGGCACTTCGGTCTGATTTTAGGCTGAGACTTCACTAACCTTCACGGTTGCTTTCTTGCCTCCCTAGATGGCAGCCACCTGCAATATCGAGCAGTCCTTTTTCAACGACTGGTTCACCGGGCACCTGAATTTTCAAATCGAGCACCAGTGAGTATGGACCCAGAATCATTTGGCCACTACCAGGTTGTCACAACACCGGACTCAAGGGGAGGGAAGGTCTTCTAAAGGCACATGTGTGGGATGTGGCAGGATTTTTGGCACAGTAAGGAGAGTCCCAGACTGCTGGGGTCATAGTCTGCTTCTACTACAGGCATGACATCTTTCTCTCTTACTACCGAATGCTTCAATTTGAACTCCTGCAAATTTAATTTGGAGTTTTAGGTAGAAGTCAGAGGTACGTATCTACCAGTCACAATGGCTATGGACTCGTATCCTAAGCTAACTACTTGAACATCCATTTCAGAAATCTCCCCTCTCTGCCTAAAAGCACTTAAGTGTTTCAGAGCTTGGGACGGCCGTGTGGAACTGTGCACGCTGCCGGGTACCAAGTTCCAGGAAAGATATTAAAACCAGGGCCATACGGACAGTTTGTTGCCAGTGACAACACAAAACGTAGAAGAGATGGCATTTAGGGTAAAGCTGACTGGTTTGGACTAGTCAGTCTGGTTTGGTTGGTACCTTCATTGAACCGCACAGGGCAAGGTGATCCCAAATTCTTCTTTACCTGCTTTGCTGTTCTGTGAGCTGCTCTGTGAGCTTCCAGAGCTGGGAAAACAATACACTCAGTTTTCAAAAGCCTCCTTGAAACAGAGGACTGTAAAGCATGGATACCTCTCTGTGCCTCTCTTTCTTTTGTTGTACAGCTTGAGGAGAAGGCATTACTAATTAGCCCCTATGATGAGGAGGCAGGCAGAGATGCCCATCCCTTGGGCTTAATCTCTAGAGTTTTCTCAGGTTTATTTTCTCTTTCTCTATTCAAGCCTGTTTCCAACAATGCCGCGGCACAATTTCTGGAAGGTGAAACCTTTGGTGAAGTCATTATGTGCCAAGTACGGAGTCCACTATGAAGAGAAGCCTCTTTGGAAAGCATTCGTAGACATTGTTGGGTAAGGTCCTTCTAGTATCATCCACAGGTTGCAATTCATTGTTACACGAAGATCCTATATTTTCTAGTACAGAAAATTCAAGACGCTATAGACCCTTCAGAAATACCATGTCAATAGGTTGCAATCTAGCGTCACTAGGTTCATAATCTTCATATCACGGTCCAAGGGAAACCTGCAGAAACATTGACCCACAGCAGAAATGACACAGATCCACTGATTTAGTGAACGCCAGGTGACAATGGATGAGAATTTGCTTCACTACATCATGGGGGAAAAAAACAACTGTCCCCCAGAGCAGCTTCTGCAACTGGAGCAGTAGTTCTTCACCAGTACTTCTACCAAAGTACTTTGCATTTAGACAGGTGCTAACCTTATCCAATAGGGACCTTTTTTATAATAACCTTTTTAAAATGCCGTTGTGACAGTTGGTGGTTCTTGCTTTCGGCAGCTGGCAGTGTATCTTTTGGCTGCAAAGTGAGATGAATCAAAAGGGAATGAGTCAGGTTACAGCCCGTGCTGTTTCTCATTTGAGCCCTGCCAGCGACAAAGGGCTATTCCCTATAGACATAGTTGAAGCCTAATCTAATAGTCCTTGTCAGGCAGACTCTGTGTTAATGTTTCTGTCTCAGTTTCTCCAAAGCAAATAATTCATGATAGGGAACATGAGAAAGGATTCTGCAGTCCAGGGATCTCCGGTCTCAAACCATTCTAAGCAAACACAAGTTAAAATGGGCTGGCTCCAACATGCAGAAGGGCTGAAAATGGTTCAAAACCTTCTTTGGTCATAGAATCATAGAATGGTTTGGGTTGGAAGGGATCTTAAAGCTAGTTCCACTCTCCCTACCATGGCCCTGCCATGGGCAGGGACACCTTCCACTAGATCAAGTTGCTCAAAGCGTCATCCAACCTGGCCTTGAACACTTCCAGGGATGGGGCATCGTCAGCTTCTCCGGGCAACCTGGTCCAGTGCCTCACTACCATCAGAGTGAAGAATTTCTTCCTTAGATCTAATCTAAATCTCCCCTCTTTCAGTTTAAAGCCATTATCCCTTGCCCTACTACTACACGCCCTTGTCCTCTTATCTAAAGCAATATGATAAGGAAAACACATACAACCTGGAGACCCAAGGAGGTCATGCCCAGCATCCCACCCATGTCTCTACATGAGTTCTCAGAAACCATCTCAGCAACTATTTGCCCTCCTGATAGAAGGATCATGTCCTGTAAACAATATAAAGCTACCTTTCCAGCCTCCAGCCCGCGTTCTGTTTGTCAGAAGACTTTTGGGCCCAAACCAGCTCAGATCTGTCGCATAATATTTGCGGAGCTGATGCAGATGGGAAATTTTGCAGAATTCCTGGGTGGGAAAGCAGGGAAACTCCTTCAGAGGTGCAATGTGGTGAGCCCAGGCAATTCCGCTCTGCTGAATTCATGGCCAGAGGGACTATAAATAACACAGTGGGCATCAGGTGGAGTTCTTGCTCACCGAGCCTCACTTTAGACCACTTTGGAGGTCTAAAGAGCAAAATAGGTAGCTCTTCTTGCTGTATCTGCTATCCTGAGGAAAGACATTCAGTATCCTGAGGAAAGACATTCAGTATCCTGAGGATTCATGTTTAAATTCAGGAACATGCTGCTTTGTAGGAAAAAAAAAAAAAAAACGACAGAGGGAAGACACGCATGGCAAATGAACTTCTCTTTGTTTTCTTTCCACAGGTCCCTAAAGAAATCTGGAGATCTATGGCTGGATGCTTACCTCCATAAATGAACATGAATCTTACTGGGGAGGTGTGAGTGCCAGGGAGGGATGGGGAGGGTGTGCGGGGGGAGGAAATCACATGTGTCTTTTACTCTCAGATTTCAGTCTATATCTACGTGCCCAGTCGGAGGGGAGTTTCCTCTCTTGTGAACTGGTACGGGCCCAGGCAACCTGTTTAATCCAGACAGATTTCAAAAATGTGCTTCAGAGGATGAGAAGCAATGCCAGTATTGCACAAAACGGAAGGTTGGGAGAGGACGGAGAGATGGAGTGTTTAAAATAGGGGCATTAATGTCCGACCTTGACCTTCTCTTCACAAGATTCATTCCAGTTCTACTTAAAACCACACAAGCCCCTGATTCACAGACCCATAAGACTTGTTAGGCTCCAGTGAGTAGTTAGAACCCAAGGACACCCCAAGTCAGCTTATGCCTCTTCCCTCTTTCCCATGTTTGTGTAAAAGGAGCTCCACACACAGTTTCATTTTGTTATCGAGGAAAAAAATAACATGGTCTGTGATGCCCATCACACCAGCTGTCTTGGGCTCCCTCCTTTCTCTCCCTCCTTTCTTCCTCTAACCAGAGAATCACTTTAGTAAAAGCTGTGATACTGACCCTGCCCAACTAACGTCTAACCACCCTCTCAACAGGGTTAAAATAGCCCCTATTTCCAGAGGTCCATGGAATATCTTTTGGCTTAAGCTGAAAAACATCTTCCTTTAGGAGAGCATCTGTTTTCTCTTTAACGAGCAATGGATCTGGATCAGCATTATGGTTTTCAGTAACTTAGACAAAAGACCAAAAGAAGTCACGTAAGCAAAACTTACTAATTGCTCGCAAGTGCTCCAGCATAACCACAACCGGGCTTTTCAGCGGTGCGATTTGGCAGCATGCTGCAAAAAACGGCACGGCTCTGCCTGTCTGCACATGCCTGGCAGAAACCGAGCCTCCTGCTACTTGGCAGAGGCCAGGAGCAACGGCACTTCTTTACCCTTCTCTTGGGAATGATCAGCAAAGCAGATGAGTTCTCCCTGCAAAAGAAGCAGCTGCCCAACCATCCAACTTGGTTCCCAGGTCCTTCAGGGAGGCAGCTGGAAAAAAAACCAACCTGACCAGGCTGTGCTGGTGATAAGAAACCTTCTGTAGAACCTTCTTATAAGTTGTCAAAAACTCTTATTTTCTGCCCAACACCTACTTAACTAAAATCCGTGAATGGCTTATCAGGAGATGAGGCTGAACAGCTTCCAGGTGCTTTTCTAAAAAGCAACTTGATCTCAAATAAATCAACAGCTTTAAATTCAGCTGTAATACAACAGAAGGGACATACTCTTTCATTTACAAAAAAAAAGACCATGGTTTCAAAAGCAGTCTCCAGTCCCAACAGCTGTCTCATTGCTCACTCAAAACACCCAACAGGGATATTCCAGTTCTTAGGCAATGGCTTTGCACACCTCTTTGCTTTGCTTAGCTCTGAAACCAGATCCTTGCAATCGAATCCTTGAATGCTAACAGAGCCCCACAAAATCAGCAAGGTTCTTTGTCAATGAAGACAACTCCAGGACCATGGCCAGTCACTTTAAAACAAAACAAAAAATGTATTCCCACCCCGCTCTTTGGAGAATAAGATGAGATTATTTCATTGCTTACAGATGAGAAGTTCACAGGCAGGTCTGCAACTTAACCTACCCAGTAATAAAGTTTATAAAGGGTTTATTTTGGTGTTCTAGCCCAGCCCTAAGCTGGCAATGCCTGACGAGCACTATGAACAGTTGGGATGAAATGCTTCTGTCTCCAGAGTGTCTGAAGCTCAAACGGAGTTTGAGCAACTTTTATAGTTGATTTCTAGTAGCATAAACAATAACATCCTTCTGGATGCTGTAATTTCCCAGACAGATAGTAACAGGGTGGCCTGGGATTGCAGCTGACACTGACTGCCTTAATACATGCATCTCTTCCTGACTCCTTGAATGTATCTCACTGTCCCTGCTTCAGCCGGGATGACCACAGGCACACAGTAGCATCAGCAATCCAACCTTCTAAATATTCCGCTGCTGTTTCTGACAGTTCATGTACTTTGACCCCTCCAGTTCTTATTTCCAGAGCAAATGTTATCTCAATACAGATGCCCCTTCCTCTTAGCGCTCTCCTCTCATTTTTATCTTTCTTCTTGGGAAACCGTTTGCTTTTTACCACCTAGAGAAACTGCAGAAAACTGGTAGTTCAGCTTTGGTAAACAGCTCTGCTTTAGCAGCTTGGCTTCCTTTTTTGCCACTGACCAGTCTACTGGAAGGACTGGTTTTCCTGCTAAAAACCCGAAGTACTGCCAACACAACGGCCTGGCCTAACAGTGCCTGGGAGATAGCAGCTACTACTGACGATGGCTACAAAAGCTTGAAACAGTCAAGGGAGAGGAACCACGCTGCAATGATTCACAGAAGACCAGCTCTTGGGCAAATGGACAATTTTTTATTTTCCCAAGACCTTAGTCAGAAATACCAAAAGG